AGCACATCGAAAGGATATGCAGATATGGTCATTTACGAAATCTTTTGACCGCAGAAATGAGATCCAAGGTAGACGGAAGTTGGTTGCTCATATATCTACTCGGGAGGTCCACGAACTGATACAAAGGACGTTGCAACCTTAGCTCAAGGAAATCCGAATCGAAAGTGCCCACCGCCGAACTGCAAGATAGATCAACCCAGCAGACTTCAGGGAGGTTGAAGTCACCCAGTATTAGACACCTATTGGCAGCCTGAGTACGAATAAATTCAATAATCTACCTGGAGATACTTCCAGGACTTCGATATACCACTACAACTGTAAACTGAGCAGAGGAAGTGCACACAATAGTCGATAGGGCTTCAACAGTTTGATCCGGCGACTGGAAAACAAGTCCTCAACACATCAAGTTTACAAGTCACATAAAGAGCGACGCCCCCACCTTGGCGACCAACGGAGCGATCACATCTAAACAGTGCGTAGCTAGGTGAACATACTTCACCGTCTGTGATATCCGGGGACAACCACGTTTTAGTGCAAACACATATGTCGGGACGAGGTTTGTCTACAAGTAGGCAGACCTCGTGTACCTTATTACTTAGGCCGGTGGCTGAGTGGTCTGCGCACCTGGTTTGCAACCATAAGATCCCAGGTTCGTAGGGGTGGGCGTCCTCGCGGTATACTCAGCCCGCGCGCAAGTAGTGGTGGTCGCGCGGCAAAGAAGCACCGTTACAGCGTACTGCTGGCACATTATTATTATTATTATTATTATTATTATTATTATTATTGAATTTGAAACCTCATAGCATCCTTTCTGTCTGTTTCGAGTCCATTAGTTACGTACTACCTTAAATACATCTGTTTCGGTCCTACTCGCTCGTTCTCGCATTCGGCTCATTGGAGCATAGTCGTCTTGCATCACCGTCGTTTCGTACGAGTTACTGCTTTAGTTACTCGGGCGCTGATTCTCACTTGCCGTTTGTTTGCAGCCTAGACTTCTCGTCCGTTCCTCGAACTTGCCCTATGGAACATATTACAAATTGACGTCGTGGTCTGTTTTACAATTATGAACAAAGGTGATTTCAGCCAACCGAAGATTGAGTGTTGTGTCCGAGACACATGTTTGCGGTTCAAATCTCTCGCTCCTCAACCACGTGTTTTCGGCCACGGTGATGACTGAAAGCTGGTACTTTCAAGTCACTGGGTACCTCTCTGGAGCACCAGAAAACTCACTCGGCTCGAACATTCTCAGTTTCTTAAGCGAAGAAGCGTTGCGGCTTTTTCTAATAACCGGCATACCAGCCACTTCAACTGTGGGGAAGATCTTATCCACTCTCCGAAGTTTGTTTTCCAAAGGCCACCCCGTTGCATACTACCGTAACACATTCTTCGGTTGGCATCACCTACCCTCTGAGAACGCAGATACCTTTCTCGCGGCTCCGAATATTGGCTCACAAAGGGTTTTCAGATCTTCAGTACGCAGATCAAGAAAAGAGGATATGTGAGAGGTTCGCAATGGGCCTAAGCGACCAATACCTCCGTGACAAATATACGTTAAAACTTCCTCGTTCTCCGGAGAAGGTTCTGGAAAAGATCACGAATCGGTGATTTCTGGAGAATATCCAAATCGACCGAAACGATCGTGGCCACGACAGTTGTACAACTTTACGCCCATCGACCAACATTCACGCAGCTGATCACAGGCACCATTCCCCCACACGAAAATCCCCCGTAGAGAACTGTGTATACTGTCAGCGGTTCAGCAGACGTGCCCGCGCTGTGGCTACAACCCACCTGTCGTTCTTCGAAAACCCCGAGATAGGCCAGCTTTGCACAATGATCAGTTTTTGGAAGCTACCCTCACTAGCAATTCACAGTGTGCCCCATTGACCATACCCGGGTGTTTAGATAATATTAGAGTGCGTTTTGTTTGATGCTGGTGCTTCCTGCTCTCTACTTCGCCTTGATATCGCCCACCGCCTTAGGAACGTTCACACGGTTACCAGCCAGCAGCCTCCTGTTGTCACCGCCAACGGGGCCAAGTTTCGAACAGAGTTTACCCTACGTGCACGCGCAAAACCTAAGGGGGTGGCAGCCACACATAAATTTATAGTTTGTCGAAATTTGATCTGGAACGCTATTTTGAGAATGGATTTCCTTACCCGACATGGTTATACAGTTGCACTTGGATGCGAGACCCTATTGATAAGTCCTGTGCCAACCGTCATTTATCATTAACGGTCGAGGAGCGTTTACTATCGCAGCCACATATTCAGTAACATCGCCTTTTCAAAATGTTATTGAGCCAATTATTGGACTCGCTAACGTTACCACAGACAACACTGACCAGTTAACCTCAGTGCTACAAGAGTTTGAGGTGTTTTCCACATCTGATTCTCCTGGCCGTGCGAACCTAATTAAACATGAGATCGACACTATGTCCTATCGACCTATTCGTCAACATGCGCACAGGTTGCCGGTTCATTACGTACCGCAGTTGGAGTCGATGATCAGTGAGATGCTAGACAAACGCATCACTCAACCTTCGTCGTCACCGTGGGCGTCACCAATGGTTTTAGTGAAGAAGACGGGACCTTGCGGCTTCGCGTCGATTATCGAAAGCTTAACAAGGTAACATGTAAAGATTCATTTCCACTGCCGCGTATTGATGTCACATTCGATGCACTCCATGGTCCATGCTGGTTGTCTACGTTAGATCTTGCAGGTGGTTACTGTCAAGTAGAAGTAAGACCCAAGGACCGTGAGAAAACGGCGTTCACTGTTCCCAACACTCTGTATGAATTCTAAACGATGCCTTTTGGTCTAGTTAATGCTCGGACGACGTTTCAGAGACCAATGCAGAAAGCCCTGGCATGTCTGACACCTGGTAGCTGCTTAATTTATTTGGACGACATAATCGTTTATGCGCGATCAATTGAGTAGCATAACCGGCGGCTTCGCCTCGTACTGAATCGGCTGCGCGTGACGGGTTTGAAACTACGGGGTCCAAAATGTCACTTTCTTCTGCCTGAAGTTAAGTACTTCGGCGTGTGAGGACCGATTCCGCTAAATGTGAAAAATTTACTTCCTGACCGCAATCTAAAACGACAGTAGAGCTCAGAGGTTTCTTGGGATTGGCTTCGTACTGCAGACGCTTTATTTTTAATTCTGCAGCCATCTCAACTCCCTTATATCGTTTAACTGAGAAGGGACGAAAATTCTGCTGGACTAACGAATGTCAGCATGCTTTTGCAGAGCTGAAAGTTCATCTTACGATACCCACAATCTTGAGTCTCCCTGACACCTCACCAGCGTCGAGATCTTTTGTGTTGGATACAGATGCGAGCGATGAAACGATCGACGCAGGTTTATCCCAGTGAACTCCGGCGGGCGAAGTTGGGATCTACGCTGGTCGCCGCTTAGATGAACGCGAGGGGAAGTACAGCACCACTCGACGGGAACTACTTGCACTGATTGGCTTTTTGCGACATTTTACACCGTATCTACTTAGAAAGTCATTTCAGGTTCGCACTGATCACCAGTCACTTTAGTGGTTGAAAAACTCGTGAGCCGGAGGGTCAGATAGCATGATGGCACGAACAACTTTAAGAATACGGTTTTACCTGCGAATATCGTCTCGGGGCACCACACTCTAACGTAGACGCGCTGTCAAGGCTTGTGAGATCCGAACAGGTCGGTTCGACTTTCGTGACCCCAGTGACCGGCATTGCGTGGATAGCAGAGCAAGCATGTGATTCTTACATGGCTAACGCCTACAAACAACAGCTGGGTGGCTCCTCGAAACCCACTGGAACTGAACTTCGTGAACGTACCACAAAAGAACGCTCCCTACTCGGTCACTGGAAAGACTTGAGAATCATCGACGGTGTTCTGTATCGCGTTGCTAAATCCGGTCCAAAAACTGATTACTCCGATGACCCGATCTCTTGGGATACTACAAAAATTTTAACAATTGAGTCATTCCGGTATGTTGAAGAGGAAGACTGCGGTTCGTCAACGATACTGGTGGCCGTGCATCCACGCCGATGTTCAGTTCTGTGCGTCACGTGAGCTCTATGCTACTTTGAAACCGATTGTGCCTGTACGTCCTTTGGAACCAATAGTTACTTCAGCACCAGGGCAACCAATTGGAGTAGATATCATTGGTCATTCGCCGATAACAAAGAGCGGGAACTGCTTCATACTGATTATGGTAGATTACTTCACGAAGTGGTACGAAGCAATAGCTATCAGATGCCGAAATGCATCCACTGTCGCTCCCTCCATCGTCAACAAGTGGGTGGCTCGTTACGGCGCACCCATATCCTTGCACTCTGATCAGGACGCGGCTTTTGAGAGTCATCTGATGCAAGAACTGTTCCGCTTGCTAGCTATTAAAAGTCACCGTATCATCCACAAGGAAAGGGGCTCATTGAGCAGACCAACAGGACCATCAAGGCTATCCTACAGAGTTTCGTCGAATGCCATCAGTATTATAATCAGTGGGATGAAGCATTGTCACAATGTATGATGGTCTATCGGACCTCGGTACACTCTACAACCGGCTATTCTCCAGTTTACCTTACTCAGCCGTGAGATTTGCGTACCTGGAGTTAATATCACCTCTGTCCGGTTGGAGGTTACTCTATGTCGGGATACGTTCGCGATACGCGCGAGGAACTCCGAGTCACCTTCCAAAGTGTGTAGGAGCACATGAATAGAACGCAACACAGCCAGAAGGAGTATTCTGATTGCCGAAATCAAGGCCCTGAATACCGAAAAGGTAACCGTGTATGGCTACACCGACCAACACCTCCAGCTGGCTCACCAGGAAAATTCCGTCGGGAATGGCAGGGGCCATATGAGATTGTGTTCGTACGCTCGCCTACTGTGTATGTGCTTCGAAACGTTACAGATCCAAACGTCAACATACTGACCATTCATTACAACTAACTGAAATCGATGACATCGTCTTCAAGTTCTACGCCTGTAGATGGAATCGGGCCACCCGGTTGTCTCCCAGTAGCCGAAAACTGTAGAAGTGCCAGCTATAGGTGCCTTCGCTGTGGTCCCAGATGCGCTGGCATTGGGGACAGTGCCACAATTAGAATGGGAGACAATGTAGTACAGTTGAAACCGAAAAGAATTCTTTAAATTGACCATCATTACTAATGTCTTCCTTGCTTCTTTTTACAGGGTTTGGGTGGACCGAATGCACAATGAATGGAGGAATTCAAAAGCCAAGACTCATTACCTGTTCCTTATAAACTCGTTGTTTATATATTCATCTGCTGTGTACCGCGCTCTTCGTATTCCGCCCCGTTGAATACATCTGTTTCGGTCCCACTCGCTCGTTCTCGTATTCGGCTCATTGGAGCATCGTCGTCTTGCATCACTATCGTTTCGTACGAGTTACTGCGTTAGTTACTCGGTCACTGATTCTCACGTGCCGTTTGTTTGCAGCCTGGACTTCTCGTCTCTGCGTTGAACTTGGTCTACGGAACATATTACAATGTCTCTCAGTTTCATCAGGAGGGCATTTGGGATTAAAAAGTCGGAGGAGAAAGAATTCGATAATTTAATAAAGTTTTTTGAAGGTTTTGAATCTTTCAGTGGGTACGTATTCTGTTCTTTGGTGCTGCATTTTTCAGTTGTCAAACACTTACCAAGAATTTTAAGAGGAAACACGTACGATTTCTTGTTATCGGACATGAAGGCAGCAAAGTATTCTTCGACTCTTTTCCACAGAAGGTGAGGATTTCTGTATTTCATTATTTTACCGGACCCAGCAGACACGTTTTTTCGGCATATAGTCTTAATCCGTGCGTTTTAAGTGACCGCTTTTTATGCTTCTCGCAAATCCATTGACATTTGGGACGAATTTCTGCCCCTCAATGAAAATTTCTGTGTGGCTCTAGTGTATGTTGCGGACGCATTTTCCCGGTCGCGATTACAGCCCACTGTCGGCGGAAATTTCCGCCGCTACCTATATCACAGTAAAGCTGCACCGACGTCTTGCGTGTGACCGAAATGCATCCAGGTGCACGAATAATGGTCACACAACGGAAGCCTGTCGTTTTTTCACGGTGATTGAAAGTACGATTATATTAAAAAGTGACGCGGATAACGACGTCCTCTTGAGCGTTCTGGTCCATCGGAATCCCTTAAGCGAGAAAAAGCGAATCTATATCGTCATTGGAGAATCACTTGCTGAGTATTTGGATTTCATCTACTATGGTGTCTAGTTTCTAGTACTGTTGCAAAGGATTTACTTCGCCATCCAAAACCATGCAGTGCACCTTCTGTGGTGGGTGGACACAGCTTTCTGTGGTGACTCCAGATTTGTATGAATTTCTGCGTACCACTACACCGGGACTCAGATTCTTTTGCGATCTCTACCGCGTTACTGTAAGCAACGGGCGTGTTCTTGATGGACTGCCTTCGCTCCTTCCACTATTCTCTTCAAACCGAGATAAACATCGCTTCTGTCTCGCTATGAACTCCATGCTTCGCATCATTTGCTTCTAACTCAGTTAGCCCCACCGTCTGCCTCACATCCGGGGACACCGACGTTTGTTGACCAGTGCGAAGAGCCTAAGACTAAGACGCATGCAGGAGGTTGTAAGGAGAAACGTATTACCAACATCTTCAGTACAACGGGCTGCCCATACAGCCGGGTGACCAAAATGTGTCCACTGGAGTGACCGTTGGAGCTCCTTGAGTGACCAATTTTTGTGCCCCTAGCCGTCCCAAGTGTGCATATTTAAAGTGTCTTTCGGTCACCCAGCAAGTTTTTCCAATCTAAACACCTTTTTCTGGTTGCAGATACCGTCAACATTAATCCGAAATCAATTGCGAAGTTGTAGTTGCGCAATACTATAGCCGTGAGGCTAAACCCATACTGTTTTTCGTGACTGGAATTCTCCTTAATGTTGTCCGATTGGGACGACCAGGGGCATAAAATCGGTCACTCATGGAACTCAACTGGTCACTTGTGCTGACGGAACTTTACTTAAAAGACTTAAAGGCATTGATCGGCGGTGCTAAAGATATGCAATATCTAACAATATATGCGGACATATCACGCCATTTATTTTCATATTTACAAGTGATCAAAACACGCTCAATTGGGACTGCTTGACGCCCATCTGTGCGGACTGGGTGAGCGTAAAACCAAAATAGGAGTCAGGCCCAAATCTAAGCCATCAGGTCAATCGCGATTGCCTTTTTCTCGATAGAACTGGTCAGCTTGAAAAACTGCTTAAGGATTGTCTGTCTTCTCATAAACCTCAGTCCCATGAGAATGTCAATTTGTTATCTCGTGACCGCTGGTTTGTGATCATAAATGCACCTGAGTCCACAAAAGCCACTCCAGCTAAAAGTGCCGGATGATCAAGAGTTTCTAGAATGGATGATCCCTACTGTTTGATGACGGTGGACAAAGAATCAACCTTCAATGTTGGACTTGGAGTACCTGCTGTATGGTTGGATTGCGCTACGCAACCTCTATTGAGACCTCGGTCCACTTAGAGGTAGGCCTCGGTCATTCCGATCGCAAGGACCGTATCCGAATTGGAAGTGGTTCGGTGTTGCTCCTCCCAATGGTGTGCCACTGTTGGGAGCAGCAACACCAAAAGAATCAACCTTATTTGTGCTTTCCACTTCAACAGGAAACAGGAGAACCCCTCAGATGTTTGACCGCATAAAATTGTCATGACGGTGATAAAGTCCGTCACGTTCTCCGACGAGCTCCGCATCAAGACCTCTCCTCAGAGGATCGAGAAAGCGGTTGATTAACTCAGATCTCGCCGAGATAATGGTGTGACATCACCATCATCATCAACAGCAGTAAATCAGCCATTTGAACTGATGCTTCACTACTATACAACGGCCTAGGAAACTTACCGGAAAACCCTGATGCTATAAGCAAACATTCAGGGTCAAGACGCCTACAACTTGTCAACATCCTGCTATCACAGCTGGCTATTGTGCAATGATAAGGCGGCATCAGTGAGACAGCATCCTGGCGCCTATCACCGCCTCACGTCATAATCAGCCATTACTCCGCAGATAATTCAGCACAAAACACGTTAAACTGGCAGTCCGACTAGAAGACGGCAGCATACGCACCAATAGTGCCGACTGCGAGCCATGTCCTGTAAAGTCTCTAGCCAAGCACGAGGCGAGTCACGTGGACTCCAATCTGGAAAGTGAGCCAGGCCGACGGCACCAAGTTTAGTCGTCATCATCATGCTACCTTACCCACTTCAGCTAGTGTTGGAAAATACCTCAGCTACTGTGCTGCAGCACATAAGAAGTGAAAAACACGTACAAGAGATGCACGCCAGTTGAACTACTAGTACCGGATGGGCGTCGTTCCTGAAAGCTACTACGAAGCGAAGACGTTTTATTGTGCAAAAGTTGTATTATGTTAAGAAATGAGGTCACGGTTGGAGGGGGAGGGAAAGGAAACTCACAACACGAACGTCACTGAGGTCCGTTCCTAGCCATCTCAGCAAGTATACCCAGCCAAACGTGTCTGTCGTCTTTCGGACCCCGACTAGGGAACCGTGAGGCTCCGACCGAGGCCAGGTTTGAAGTGAGGACTTTCATTGCTCTCGACCAAGTCATCGCTTGACCACCCCTCCTTCCATCCACATCGCCTGAGCGCAAACAACGCAGTCTCGGGTTTCGGTGAGCTTGTCTGCGCAACAAGTGGCCGAGCCGTCTAAACTTGATGCGTGAAATAATGGTGCTGAGCGGTTCATTTCTTCTTCTTGTGCCATAAACAAGGCGTCGAACACCTCCATTGCTCACGCAGTGTTCTCACCAGATGTGAGCCAAATTACGAAGGCACCGGTGATCGAACGTAACTAGCATCCTTTTGTATACTGATCTACTGGGACACGTTTCACTGCCTTAAAGAGAAGTTGAACGGGCGGCTTTATTGTACACTACCCTTCACGGGGACTGTGATGTCGCGCGGGCGCCATAGATGGTGCAGGTTAGCTAAAGCGCAACGAGCTTTTGCAATAAGGCTCGTGATGTCTTCTATCCAAAGGGCGCTAATACAACTTCATAGGTAGCTGAATTTTTGAACGACTTCCAACTGATCCCCACTAAGGGCCGGCGCAGGAGCCGGTCCCTGCCAAACTTGGAGGAAAGCTTTGCACTTCGAGGGGGCAAAACGTAGCCCGAAACGGGTGATAGCCAGTGCTAATCTGGCCAGTGCCGCTTGGCACGTTTGGGAGCTATCACAGATTAGGGCAATATCGTCAGCATATTCCGAGTCAAGAAGTCATTCTCCTGGGAGCAGGTCCACACATTTTAAGTCGTGTCCTGTGAACGCGATCTTCATGACTTCGTCAATGTCGAAGTTGAAGAGCAAAAGTGACAGCGGGCATTTTTCTCTTACATCGCTGGAGATATTGAAGAGCGGCGACAGATTGCCGTAAGCTTTCACTCTGCCCGAGGTATGCGCCTATAACGCTCGGATAATATTTGCATATTTCTTTGGCACTTTTTTCCTGAATAGCCAGTTCCAAAGGGCACATCGACCAACCGCATCGAAGGCACCTTTGATGTCGAGGAACACGACTATGGTTGGCCGCCAATATATGTGACGGTGCTCCAACGATTGACGCAAAGTGATGATGTGATCGATGCAGCTTCGACCGTGACGAAACCCGGTTCACTTTTCATGAATCTGGCTTTCACGAGTGCGAGTCAGTCTGTGAAGGATGGCAGAGGTAAACAGTTTGGAGGCGTTGGAGATCAGACTGATTCCTCTATGATTGCCGCATTCCGATTCTGAGCTTCTCTGAAAAATTTGGACTCTAACGTAGTGGCTTCAATCTGCCCGGACAGTTTCCTGCTCCCACGGCTTCACTATTAACTCGTATAAATCATCCACAAGACCAAGTCCCCCGAATTTGCAGAGGGCTGGATGACGATCATCTAGTATCGCAGCTTTATTCAGCTTCAGCAGTCCGATCTGAAGTTCAACTTCTGAGCGAGCGGGCGAATCCAAAGGAACAGCTCACGGAACAGGGTGATCAGTGGCCGGCGAGGAATCCGAAAATTCGGACCGAATAAATTGCCTTTCAAAGTGCTCAGCCCAACGATCTAAGTGTTTTGACACGTGGATAGAATGTCCACTCTCGTAACGTCTAATTTCCCTAACACCAGGTCTTCTGCGGCCCGTTTCCCGTATTAGACGGAGTAACTTTCCATGGTTACCAATGGCAGCGGTCACTTCCATCTCTGACGCACGATCAAGCCGTCAAGATTTGCAGTCTCTTTTCAGGCTAGCACGGAATTTTGCCCGGAAATTTTCGCGTGTCCTATTGTGTTCGTTTCCAGCTGAAATATGCCGGCAAGCATCGATATGTTCTAGCGACTGCGAGTAGACTCAATGTCTAGGTTGGCCATTAGACTTACCACATGACTTGGCTACTGCTAGTAAGATCTGGTTAACATGTGACCAATGACCATAAATTGTATTCACTGTGCGCTTACTCAACCCGCAGATCTTCGTATTTCGATACGCATTCAGAACATCTGGCTTCACCAGTTGGCTAGTGTCGATGTGCTTACAGGATTGTCGTGGGCGTTCGCCAAAACACACCCGCAGATCAGCACATGGTCCGTGTCCATACATCTGCCCCAAATCGAGCGACAGTTTTGGACGCAGCCACTCCAGAGAAAACTGATTGCTATATGATCGGTTTGTGTTTAATGCTGGCGGGCCC